GGCAAATGCACCACAGTTTGGGTTAAAACACGATTTTTCATGGTTTTTTTCCATGTTAAACCCGCAAATCCCATGGTGATTTGATCCCCCCGCCGAAAAACGCGCCTCATACAAGCCGTCTCAGACACGACCGTGAGAGATTTGGCGGAACCTCACGAGCTCTCGACCACCAACTGAGATCCCCCAGACCGAGCAGTGACTTGGTGCGAAATGACGCAGAACTCGTGAGTGGTTTATAAGTCCATGTATTTAACATATATATGTATAGATATTCCTTAAAACAATATAGCATCACATATCTATATAACATATATATATGTATATCACACACATTAAATATATATAATTATATATAGATAGATTATCTATATAAGACATGTTTAACTGGGATCTGATGAACACCAAGTAAAGTATTCATCACTCCGGGGAGACTCCAAAAAATGCCCCGGATCCACAAGAATGGGGAGATCGCGACGGCCAGAAATACTCTGGCTTCAGCTATCTGGCATGAACACATTTTTTCGTTGGAAACTGATATTTTCTACCATCTACCATAGTTGAATTTTGTGTAGAAAACTAACGAAAACACAATTCTTAGTCGAAATTCTGATATTTTCGCAGAAACCAATCTAAAACTCAACACTGACTTTTCTATCATCTACCATAGTTTGGACTCTTGGACATGTTTAGACAGTGACAGAGAGAGAAAACAACAAGCAAATAAGCAACATCAGTGAGATAGAAAAAAACATAGAACCACAAAATAGGAGAAGGAGGAGGAGGAGGAGCCGGAACAGCTGTGATAAAATCTAACAACCCTCACCTGGCAGGTGGGGAATCAAACCTTTAGAATTCTCCAGGCTGGGTTCACATATGACATGATGGACCTGATTCACTCAGGTCCAAACATAAAAACATTGCCTGCTTAGTGGTGCCGACATTTTTCAACACAAAACATTTTTTCAACGTCATTGGGCACAGCTGCGTCATGTAAATGCTGGATTTAAAATCCCTTGCAGATACATTGGGAGGCTCCAAAAAGTGATACATACTTACTAGTTGGAACTCCTCAATTCAAAAACCCAGGGTTCAACATTTGTCCAAGGTTAACATTACATATCAATTTCAACACATGCCATTATTTAGTGATGCAGGCCCATGAATGTTGGTATGACTATGGGTCGAAATATGAGTAGCCATCTGCATCCTTCGGGCCTTCGGGCTTTAATTTCGATCGACACACATTTCCGGAAACAGACATGATCAAATGCCAGTGGCTCTTGATCAGAATTCATGGAGTTCCTTCAAAACTTTGCTACATCAGTCCAACCTCACCAAAGATACAAACCAAACGAGCACTGAACAGTTCCCTTTCTTTTGATGCACTTATAACCAGTTCTTTTTTGAGGACGTGAGTATTGTAGCCCAATGGCAAAAAAACGACCCTTCCACATGTTGGTTTGTCCTGCACAAGTCGGTAGAAACCCTTCACTATAGGCAAGCATTTGTCTTATCCATTGTTTTTCTCCATTAAGAATACCCAATATCCCCTCGCATTCATAGTGGATCACTTCTTGTTGCAGCCAGATTTGCGACCTGCCTTGGTATCTTGCTTCATCATGTGGATCATGATCTGGATTCTTAGGATTCATCTTGACTTCGCCAGTTGCAGCCAGATTCATACAATGTGAGGCCCCCAAACGTGATGTGAACGTTGGTTTAGATTCGCCCCAGTAACTAGTTCGTTATTTGCGTACCATTTTTACCATAGTGAAATTGGAGTTACGAACGCACCAACTGAACACTATCCAATGGGGGCCTCACATTGTAGCCAACATCTGGGTATGGGTCAAAATTAGATACCCCAATAGTTGGATGGTTAATACTAAACTAGACTAACATCTGTGGTCCCCTAGGTCTTCCATTTTGACCCACATCCATCTGATCTTTGTTCATCCGCTTCTTCACGACGCACATCATCTTGCACTGCACATCTTGCTGTGCGGATATTGAGATCCTGATGACGTCACAGGGCCACGGACGCGTCGCGTTGGTTTTTGGAAAATCACACGGGCACAGCAATGATCAGCCAAGTTGGGGTTTTCCCCCATGTTGATGGCTTAAATATGATCGTAATATGATCTTAATATGATCTTAGATACTTCAGCATAGATACTTTGGCTTATATCCATATACTGAATGATGGCTTAAATCCATAGATACTTTGCTTTGAGATGATCTTAATATGATCCCTTCCCAGCGATGAATTTCAGTATATATTTCCCAAACGAATCCGCTGCTTGTCGATCTGGGTCGCCCAGCAGTCGGCAGTGAAGAAGCCGGTGGTCTCAGGATTAATGCCTCGGGAGCGGTCCGGGGAACCGTCACTTGGATACAGAAAGTGGAGGGATTTGACCAAAACATGGGAATTCACTAAGTGGATTACTGGTTGGTGGTTGATCTACCCCTCTGAAAAATATGAAAGTCAGTTGGGATGATTATTCCCAATATATGGGAAAATAAAAAATGTTCCAAACCACCAGCCAGTAGTGGATTGATGTGGATTGGAATTAAGTATGAGTAGCTCTTTGACAAACAAAGCGGCAACATTGGAATCTACACAATCTACATGAGGAAAATCAAACTTAGCGATGGATCGCTCACTGGAGCATCACCATGACAAGTGCTGCTTGAAGTCTTGCCTTCACTCGTTTTCGGAGGTCATGGGCAGACTCGAGAACCTTGTCCGCCATGTCAGCTTCAAAGCGCCGCTTTCGACGTGGATTTTGTCCGGTGCAAGCTGCTGAAAATATGCAGAACCATCCCAAGCAAACTCGGGTGACATGTCCTTAAGCCATCTCAATAAAAAGAATCAGGCGTTCCAAAACTGTTTTTTTGGGCTATCAACCTGATGGTTTCGAAAACAATCAAACGTATATTGACCATATCTCGATGCTTAAATCATCTTAAATCCACTGACCAAACCAAAGGCTCGCCAAGAAATGAGTCATCAATAAATTCTCATTTATTCCCATGGAAACAAGTCCATGGTTCTGTTGCAAATCATCCACTAGTCTCCAATATTGTGAGAATCAGATTCATGCTTTAATGTACTGTACATGTTTCTGGTTGATGGTATACCTACCCCTCTGAAAAATATGATTTCGTCGGTGAGTATTATTCCCAATATATGGAAAAATAAAAGCCATGTTCCAAACCACCAACCAGATATGCCATTGATATCCCATTATATCCAGTTATATCACCATCATATTCCCTGTTTAAAACTGACTAATGTATTGATATCCCATTATTCCCTGATGAAAAATAAATGTTCCAAACCACCAACCAGGTAGATAATGCCATACCAAAAGACTATTTTGGATTAGTTTCTAGCCATCTAATATTCTCCCATTAACATCCAATGTTTTAATGTTTTGATTATTGAGTAACTCCCAATGGATACTGCTTGAATCCAGTTGGATCCGAAAAAAAAACTCTTGTCGCTTTTAAGTCTCACCATAAAACGGCTGGTGATTGATCACCAACAAAAACACGATGTAAAAGGCAACGAATTCATCTGAAAATCTCCATTTTGACAATGACATGTTCATTTTAGCGAGGTAAATCACCATTTTAGACCCCAAGCCTTCTTCAAGTTGGTTTATAACTATAGCTGAACTGTTGGGGTAGTGGTAGATATCTCCAACTAGTATTCATGGGCTAAGGCTAAATATGGGGGCACCACCAATATCTCCGGAACATTCATCTCGGAAGGATCTGGGTCGAAAAATGAAAAATTCTTACCATATGATTCCCATAATTTGAGTGAATAAACATGCATAAATTTTTAAATCCAAGCTATTTAAGGGTATTGTCTGGGTACAAGGTGGTAGCCCATGGTGCCCCTAGTGATGTTTGTTGGTTTCAAATCCCCATGAACTAGTTCGATATAACCCCCTATAAACCCTAGATATTGGACTTATAAAGCAACTTAGCAAACTACTACTGGTTGGTGGTTTCAACACTCATAAAAATATGACTTCGTCAGTTGGGATGATGACATTCCCAACTGAATGGAAATTCATAAAAGCCATGTTCCAAACCACCAACCAGTAATCCCATTTTTAATCCCATTATTAATCCCATTGTTAATCCCATTATTAATCCCATTATTAATCCCATTATTAACCATCATTAACCATCTATATGGGTGAAACAACCATGGATCATACAGTATGGGGCACCACCTTGTACGAGGCTTTTGACCAAAGACCAACTGCTCCCGATCCCCCCGTTTTTACCACGGCACTATTGCAGTTCATCTGCGCTTGTGCTCCATGTGCCGTGGCCGTTTCCAAGGGAACGACTTGGGAGGCCATAGAAAAACGACGCAACGGCGCGGTTTTTAGCGCAAAGGGAGTGCTGGGATGTGTTTACCCTCTGGTAATTTAACATAGCTATCGAAAATGGCCCATTTATAGCTGATTTACCCATTAAATATGGTGATTTTCCGTAGTTATGTTAGTTTACCAGAGGGTAACCATGAACATCATGGGAATTCAAAAAAATAATGAATTTAAACAGTTTAAAACTGCAAAAACAAGAATTCAAGCAAGAAAAACGGTTTGGAAAGCAAGACACATGTGAATTTCAGAGATCATTTGTTCATGATTTCGTATCCTTGGCCCTGGAACCCGAAAACAAACTATGCTTGGCGAGTCATCCCACTAAGTAGGTCATGTACCTGATTAAAAGTGGAGTCAGTAGGATGGATCCACTTACAATTGGGGTTGCACTCCAGCAACTCTGTCGAGTGAAGCACCGGAATGGTTCAAATTGATTCAAATGGCAACATTTCAGTGCCGGCAACTTCTAGACTTTGACAATTTTCAATCAAATCTGCAGATTTCCCAACTTGCACTTGTACTTGTACTTGTATTTGTACTTGTTGTTGTTGTTGTTGTTAAAACCATCATTTTGCCTCAGAAACCCATTTTTCAGCCGACCACCGACCACCCGACGGTGTCCCCGACGGCCGTGACGCCGTAGATGGTGCCCTGCATCAGAAGTCCCACCTCGGAGCGACCGAAAGTGGCAGCCGGGTGACCCGATTGGATCTAATGGGCAACAAAATAATGGAAGTGTTCGGAAGTGTCCTAAAAATAGTTACCATAGTTACCATAGTTACTATAGTTACTATAGTTACTATAGTTACTATAGTTAAATAGTTATATACATATAGAGATATCATCTAAAGTTACTATATCTGGTTGGTGGTTGAGCCCTACCCCTCTGAAAAATATGAGTTCGTCAGTTGGGATGATTATTCCCAACATATGGAAAAATAAAAACCACGTTCCAAACCACCAACCAGTTGTTGGCTGAAAAATCTCCATGGTTGCTACAAAACCACCCAAAAACCATGGTAACATCTTCAAAACATTGCAGCCTCCCATATTTGAGTTGCTTTCCAACCTCCATGAAAAGCACTTCGATGATGTTCCTGTGATCATTGAATCATTTTTTCGATATATTTCGAAAAAACACAACCCAATTCAATAGCCATGACTATTAAGTTACATCATATGTGCCATGGTGAAAAGATGGGATAAATATATGGGATATAACTGGTGATATTGATATAATATATTCCTAGTTATATAAATCTGGGTAAATTATAACTGGGTAAATCATTGTGAAAGTGATGGGATAAATATATGGATACATTTTTTTAAATCCATCCCACAATGGGACTCCATACATAGTGTGTACCATGAATATGAAGCCCTACAATGTGAGGCCCCCAAGATAGCTAAGTTGGTGCCAATAACTCCAACAACTATGGTTTATGGTACTTAAAACTATAGTTACTGGGGCGAATCTAAACCAACTCATAACTGGGGGGCCTCACATTGTATGATCATGGATTGGTGATTTAAATGACCATCCCGCACCCCTAATATGCGCAAACAGAAAAACAAAATTGACCGTGGCACAAATGACTATTGGGGGAGATGTTGCCCAATGGCCATGTAGTACCCCCACAAATTGACCAGCAACACATGGGTTTCTAGAAATCAAAGACAATGAGGATATAACTGGAACAATATAGGATAATATGACCAATTTGATATAACATTTTGGTGTGTGTCTGAAAATGGTTTATACTCCCAAATGGCCATTCAAACTATGATGATAAACCGTGGGATTTTGATGGTATCCTATTTTCAGACAAACCCCTAGCCCCTGTGTTTTATTGTGTTTTGATTTTTTGCCTGGGTTTGTACATAAGTCTGGGATACCCCCAAATTGCAAATTTCAGAGTGTGAATGATAATCAATCATCAGAATTGAGAACACCCCCTACTATTTTCAGACAAACCCACATATACCCTATGAAAAATGAAAGTATCTTAACTATCAAAATAAGGATAATATGGGCAATCATGGGCAATCCAATTTTGTGGATATTGTAAGTACCAGAGGGAGGTCCATTTGTTGGGGGTGTCCTAAAACGAACCATTTGAGCATTTATTGATATGATTGATATGATATTGATATTTATTTTCTTACATCAATTCGAGATGCTGGTGCTCCAAATGGATTGACCCAGCTATTTTGGGAGATCTGATCTGATGGATTCATCACAACACAACATGACTAGGAAAAAATGGGACATCCCAACTCTGTGAACTCTCCGAATTTGTGATCTGTTAGTATGTTGAGAAGCATTACCCTCTGGTAAACGTTTACAAAGCGAACTGGAAAATCACTATTTTTTAAGGGTAAATCCACTATTTCAATGGGCCATTTTCAATAGCTATGTAAACGTTTACCAGAGGGTAATATACTAAGAGATCAATCCCATGAAAGAAGTAGATCTGCATTTCTGTTGGTGAAATCATCATTTTCCGATGATTCCCGAATGCGTAGCAAGGGTTCCCGTTTCACTCTGGGGGTCTGGGGGTTGAGGGTGTGTTCGCTCGACGTTGCGTTCACGATCGCAACCGTCCGCAACCGTCCGCGCGAGGACCATATGGCCGTGCCTATGGGAAGTTCTACCAGGGTGGTCATTTTTGGAGGTTTCAGACGTGTCGTTGCTTCGTTTCGCGTGGCAGGCGTGGCACTTCGTGACATTCAGACGTGTTTTGCAACGTGTTGAAAATCGTTTTGCGTGGCAGGCGCAATACTTTTGTGACGTTTTCAGAAGATGTGTTGCAGTTTTCGTGGCAGGCGCAGCACTTTGGACGTGTCCATCGTCATTTTTCGTGGCAGGCGCAGCACTTTAGACGTGTCCTGTTGCGTGTTTTTTGTAAATCGCATTGGCAGGGCTGCGTCAAGTGGCGACAAGGTGCAAATTCCATGGCAGGCGTGGCATTTTATGACATGTGCTGAAAATTGACGGAAGCCTCGCACGAAACATCGATTTTGAGGTTGCAAATTTTCAGGTTCTAAGGAAAACTCGTAGGAATTCGTCGATTTTGAAGCTGCAAAGTGTGAAAATTGGAGGAAGTCTCGCACGAAATGGTCGTTTTGGTGCTCCCACCTGTCTCTTCTCGCGTGTCTGGTTTTCCCGTGGCCTCGCCGTGTCTATGGGGGAAGCTGCAAAACTTGTCTTTTTGTCGTGTTGCCAACTGTGAAAATTGCCGGAAGTCTCGCACAACATGCTGGTTTTTCTGCATCCACGTGTCTTGTCTCGAGTCGCTTGTTTTTCTGTGGCGTCGCCGTGTCTATGGGGGAAGCTGGAAAACCTGTCCTTTTCGAATGTTTCCAAGCAGGTTGTCATGTTGTTTTGCGTGGCAGACGTGGCACTTTTTGACATTCCAACCTGTTTGATGATGTTCACAAAATTGCAAAATTGGAGGAAGTCTCGCACGAAATGCTGTTTTTTCTGCATCCACGTGTCTTGTCGCGCGTCTCTCGTTTTCCTGTGGCGTCGCCGTGTCTATGGGGGAAGCCGCAAAACCTCTCCTTTTCGAATGTTTCCACGCAGGTTGTCATGTCGTTTTGCATGGCAGGCGTGGCACTTTGTGACATTCCAACCTGTTTGATAACGTGTCGAAAATCAAAAGTAGATGGTGGAGACTCGACGGATGGTCGTGATGAAGTTCTGCAAGAGCAGTTGATGAGCTTGCCGTGCTACAGGAACGTGCTGCAGCAGGCCGAGCAGCTCATCGAAGAGGAAGTCCGCCAGGGCAAGACGATCCGCGTGGGTGTGGAGAGCACACTGGGAAGACATCGCAGCATCGCTTTCGCGGAGATCTTGCGGCAACGACTCGATGTGTACACCCACGTGGACCTCCGCCACCTGGAAGAGCATCGCTGGAAGGACGGTGCTGACCCCCGACTGCCACCTTGGGAAAAGAAGGAAGGTTCGCTTGTGCTCAACATCGAACTGGGAAGCTGATGCTAGCGTATAGAAGCACAATTGGTGGCGCTGGCCACATTGTCTTAGAAACCTCTATGTGTGAGACTGGAGTTGCGAGTGGACCCGCATGTCTGCAGTGGACGAACCGTCTGAAAGACTCCTACATCGTTGGGGTTTGGTTTGTGTATACTGTTCGGAAACAGCACACCGTCGCTTTTGGGAAGTGGAAAATTGGACGTGGGGGGCGTAGGCTAACATCGTCGTTGTTGTTGTTGTTGTTGTCGTTGTTGTCGTTGTCGTTGTCGTTGTCGTTGTTGTCGTTGTCGTTGTCGTTGTCGTTGTTGTGGTTGTTGTTGTTGTGGTTGTTGTTGTTGTTGTTGGTTGTTGTTGTTGTTGTTGTTGCTGTTGCTGTTGTTGTTGTATTTCATTTGATGATTATTTGTTGAAATTCATCTGTATATGACATCGGTATCTATGCTTATAACGTTTTTGCATCATGTGGTTCGCATGTTCTGGCAGGTGCCGCTTGCTTCGCGGCGCTGCTTTGGGAGGTGGCAGCTCGCGCTGTCGTAGAGGCACTGGGAATTCGGATATCTCTGTCACCGCATTAGTGCGTATGAGCGCGGGGGTCTGGCGGGGATGAGCTGTTGATGATGAAAACCTCGTGTACAGCAATTGTAAATAACTTTTGACACCATTTGTTGCTGGTATTGCTTTACTGTTTTTCTGTGAAGCGAGCTGTTGGTCAGATTCCGTCGCCTGGGCAACTTCCCGCTGGGAAGCTTGCATCTGGATGCTTGCAGCTGCTGGCTCTGTATGACTTTTGTGTAACTTTGGAAAGGTGGGAATCACGGCTGCGGTGTGTTCGGGATGTGTATGACATTTGACAGCGACGATGATGCTGATGACGATGACGATGTCGGTGACTTTTGTTTTTGGATTGATGTGCATATAGCTTTGCAGACTATACCATTTCTTGTGAATGATGTTGACAGTGTAAGTTGACATCGTGGTCGGCTGTTGATCGGCTGTTTCTTATTGTTTTTGTTGATGGCAACGAGGATGTATAGCATCGTGCCCGTACACAAACTTCCATCATGCCCAGTTGGTCGAACGCAAGACTAGTAGATTGAATTTGTTTTTAGAACAGGCAATGGATGTCTTCAGCGACGTGTATTTCTTGTGCTGCATCGCTTCTGTTGCTCGAAGCAATGCTGAGTGATGTTTGTGGTGCCAAACCTCAGGTGGCGTTGTCCCCGAGGAACAAAAGCACACGGGTAGGCATGCATTCCCATGATTCGCCTTTTCCCATGCTGGAGCTCCCCTGCTGTGGCCCGGCGGTACTTCTGTTGCGAGTTTTGCGGGTTGCTGGCAGGCCCCATGTGGGGAGGTAGGGAGGGTGGGCCAGGCTGCCCGAGCGGGCAGCCTGGAAAAAGACCGCGCAGGTCAAGACTACGACGCAACGCTATTTCTCGAGAGACAGCATGCTGAACCACTCAACATGCAACCGTTTTTTTTTTGTGCAACAGCCTCGACGGTCTGCCCGGCGGAGCCCTGGGTCCGCCAGCGGGTTCGGCCGGGTCGCTCAGGTGAGAGCCGAAGTGCGTGTGGCGCACAAGCAATGGTCCAGCCAGAGACCCCGGGTTTCCTGTGCTTGCTCTGCGTCAAGGTTTCATTCAATCGAGCTTCCATCTCTGCCGGAGCAAAAATGCGACCTGGATGGAACCAGACACTGCTCATCTGGTGGTTTGCATTGTCGCTTGCAATGCAAATAGCCAGGTGAGCCTCGTCTGGTCTTTCATCTATTTCGACGACTTTGTTTGACTTCAGGCAACAGGGAAAGCTGGCGTCGGTGACTCCGTTGTCTTGGCGAGAAGTTGGACATGCCCAAAATCTGTATGGTTGTGTACAGAGCGACAGCTGGCGGCGCGCTGTCTTGCTGAGCAGCTCGCTGGACGTGTTACAGCCGTCGGCAATGCTAGAAAGAAGTCCCTGTTCCTTTTGCAATTTGATGATGATATGATTTTGTTGGACAGATCAGCAAGAGCTATTATTATTTTCCTTTTTGTTTGGGTTGTTTCGTTGTCCCACACAATCGTTATTGAATTGTCTTCATCAAGATTCTGTTTCCATAACTCATAAAATGATTCGTCAGCATGAACTGTGCCTCGTGTGGCTCGTATGTTCTGGCAGGTGATGACTGCGTCGCGATGCAGCTTTGCAACACCAGTGCCGTGGAGGTATCGAGCGTGCTTGGTGCCACTACAGGATCTTTCAACACGTTTCCGATACTTTCTGGTTTGTTGATCCATACATTTTATCTTGTTGCATCGACGCCTGTGATTCCCAACACAAGACATTTCATGTGTGATACGTTCGTCTCGCATGGCTTGCATGTCTTGGAAGGCGCTGCTTGCCGCGCGCCACTGCGTTGCGACGCCAGTGCTGCTGTCGCGGAGAGAAAACAGATCCGGAGCAATGACGTTGTTCCACTGTTCTACGATAGGTTTGAGCATTAACATTTTCATCTCCTCTCATAATCGATACTTTAACATCGTTATCTTCAACATACGTGTGAGCATTCGAGTTCGTGGGCTTCATCTTTTTTGTTGAGTCATTAATTAAAACAAGTTTCTCCACCTTGTGCAGAAGCTTCAAAGGATCCTGAGCTTCCTCCTTCTTTTGCTTTGCCTTCGGGCTGGATGGTCCTGGCTCATTCTTCACCCTGGCCTCGTTCTGCTTTTTGACCAGGGCTTCCGCCACTGTTTTGAAATGGGTTGGTGGCTTCGGTTTGGCCTGGCAACCACGGATATCAGAAGAATGTTCACAGAGTATTAAAAAACAATATGCAGACTGGTAACCTGTAAAGTTCACAGTTTGCCTCCTAAAACCTCGCTTGGACCCCAAAAGGCTAAAATAATCAAAGTTTATTGGGCCAAACCGTTTTTTGGAAACTCAGCATGGCAATCAGTTATATTGCAATGTTAAGTTGTTCACTCATTCCTGTATTCGAATCAACCCATGATTGCAACTTCAAATCACATCACATCCCAAATCATGTAACAAGAAGGACTCATGTTTTTTTTCGTCCCCCACTGGTGATTTTCAGCAGTCCTTTTTAATGGTTATGGTCTTACCCTTAAACGATTGTTAAAAGTTATACTCTTATCACCATATTCATGGGATTTACTTGAGTTTATCCTTTTTGGCATCTTGCTTTGGGGTTACTATACTGGTTGGTGGTTTTAACCATCTTGAAACATATGAAAGTCAATGGGAAGGATGGCATCCCACATATGAAATGGAAAATAAAACATGTTCCAAACCACCAACCAGGTATTGGCTGAGAAATCTCCATGGTTGCTACGACCCCCCCAAAAACCATGGTTACATAACTATGGAAAATCACCATGCTATTAATGGGTAAATCAACTATTTCTATGGCCATTTTCCAGTTCGCAAACTGTTTGTTTACTAGAGAGTATCCCATGAACTATCACCAAGTCCCATACAGATCCAGGTTTTTGATGCCGAACAAAACCAAAGGTGGAAAGGCCCTTTATATACCGCCACAAGGTGGTGCCCCCCCCAGTTATCAATTGGTGAAATAAGCCCATTAACTAGTTCGATGCATCACCAACGAAAACTATAGTGAAATTGGACTTATTTGTACAAACGGGGGCACCACCTTAGGACCTTGCAGGTATATATCCAGTAAGATTCCAGTAGATATCCCCAGTTGAGTCACCATTAGTCATCCACAAATCGCCATGGTCAGGCGTCATCCACCAATGCTGAGCCTCCGCGCAGGGCACGGTTCCGGCTGGCAGTTGTGCGAAGTCACTGTGAGGCTGCCGTCGTTACCTCACCAGGAGCCGTGGACATGTGCCAATGACTAGGGGATACGCCATGGGCATGGCTTGTTAAGCGGCAAATACCATGCAAACCTGGGCCTAAAAACTGGGAAATCAGTGAAAAAACGAGGATTTTTCAACATTTTCCGGATGGAAATGGGAACATCATTGGCCAATTTTGGAGACTTTGGAGAAATTCCTGCGCCCTGGAGAAGACCTTTTTGGCATTTTCCAAAGCCAATTCTTCCACCCTTTTCCTTGCTTTTTTGGCAGCCA